ATGTGGTTGTTTGCTCGGCCCTGGATAGTGACATCATGGTCATATAGCCATGGGTGTCTTAAAAGAATGTGAGACACATCCATAGGGATCACGACACATAAAACATCTTCCTTGTAGTCGCCCAAATGGAGTAGGACACGACACCGCTGAGTGATAAGCAATGAAGTGTTGTTGACCCACGCAACTCTAAAAGGCTTAGCAATTTGCTCTGTCTTAAGTCCAAGACGAGCGACACCTCGACTAAAGATCACGTTCCTTTCACTTCCACTATCAATAACCAACTTGCATGACTTATCACTGCACTTCACAAAGGTGTGGAAGATGCTGTTCCGTTTCCATGAGTCATCTGGCGTTGGGACAGTCAGGAGGCATCGCATCACTCCAAGATGACCTAATGGCATGTCATCACAATTAATTTCTTTGTCTACATCAGAAGGAATATCGACAAGGTCGATGATGACATCTGGCTCGCTCTCGAGTAGTGCACCATCTTGAGATTCAATAAGCAACGCACGTTGCGGGCACTTTGAAGCGATGTGTCCCTTAGAGTGACACTTGAAACACTCTATCGATGAGCTACCTGTGCGAGTGTTCGAGGTTGATGACTCTCTTGGTCTAGAAGCGCTTGGCCCTGAAAGTTGTTGACTTATCCGTTGATTGGCCGAAACAGTGGAGCTGCATGTTGGACGAGACTCTAATCCAGAGAAGCTGGGACGCCTAAAGGAGGGATACTTAGGCAGGGAGTCAATGTCGATAGCCTTATGATATGCTTCCTCTAAAGTGTAAGGACGGTTTACTCTGAGCTCCCTCTGTATGTCATCCCTAAGGCCACTGATGAACCTCTCAATAACCATAAAACTCGGTTCATTTAAGTCATTGCGGATCAGAAGGTCATCATATCAAGAGACGTAGTCGGCTGCCGATGAGGTTCCCTGCTTGAGGCTGTTCAATTGGTTGAAAAGCATGCTTAAGTGACTGACCGGCACGTACTTTTCCTTAAGCTTCAACTTCATCTCCTCCCAAGTAGTGATAGGAGGTTGCCCTAAGCGTTCAAGGTTCGCTTGGACGTACTGCCAATACTTCCTTGCAGATCCTACGAGCTTCATCTTGGTAAAACGAACGCGCTGTATGTCACTCATATTGTACCACTTGAAGTAGTCGTCCATGGTGGCTAACCAATCGAGGAAGGCATTCGCGTCTAAACATCCATCAAAGTCAGGTGCCTCAACTTAAACCCTCTTCGTCGCATCATCATTGTAGTCTTGTCGAGGGGTGTCTCGGTATCATCTGGGCGGCGACGGGTCTTGTCCATACCTAGGGCGCGTGGCGTATCCTCCATAGGCTCGTCGGTTCGCAACATGGGATTCGTAGCGAGCCTTTGTCCCTTGCTCATCCCATGGGTTGTCCTCTTCCTTGAACTGTGGGGGAAGGGTCTCAACGTGTAGCGGTTTAGTCTGCGAGTTACGTGGACCTATAGACAGTTGGGAGACTCTAGTGTGAGATGGTCCATCGGTGTCGGGCTTAAGGTGCGCTTGATTGGTCTCAGGGACATTTCCAAGAATCCCTTCTGCACCCTTACTAAATACTTGCCTATTAATCCTTAGGAGAGAATTCCTAATCTTCTGCTGGGAGGTCCTAAGCTCTTGATTAGCTATCTCAAGCTCCTGAGTAGTGGTTCTAAGCTCCTGACACTGGGAGTTATATTCTTGCTTAATCTCAGCCAAAGATTCCTTAAGGCATTTGGTAAGTTCATTCAGTTTTAGTTCAAAGGTCTGAAGTCTCTGGTCCATTTGGGATTGAAAGGAGCTAACACGAGGTTCTAAAGATTGAAGTGCTTGGCCTAAGGTGTCTTGTCTATTTTCAATATCACGAATAGTCATGCAATAGATAGACGAAAGCTAACAACAAATAATAAAGCAAGTAAAGAGCTACTAATAAAATGAAAATAAATTCTCTCTCTCTGTTTTTTTTTGCCTTTTTTTTTTTCTTTTTTTCTCCCTCTCTCTTTTCTTTTTTTTTTAATAAGAATAATATAAAACCAAATTAAAAAAATGGAAATGCTAATAAAATATAATATCTACAGTAAATAATAATCAATAGAATGGCAAAAGCAAAATAGTAACCTCCAGTATGTCAAACTAGTCATAGTAAGTTAAAGAGAGGGTCAATTGCGCCTTACCAATGCATTTAAAGAGACCAGAAAACTAAAAATTACCCCAAAGTGTCTAAATGATTCTGTAGGCAAAGTGAAAATTTTGACAAAATCTGGGTCCAGAAGTGTAATTTCCTCGAACGTATTGGGTCAGACTGTAAAATTTCAAAATCTGGGGCAAAGGTGAAATTTTCTAGAAAATATGGGTCAGAATGTGTAATTTTTGCTAAAAATCGAATCTAGAACTGCAGAAGCACGGAGGCGCGTGGATCTCACACGCAGAGACTGTGATGGCACGTTCAGGCACATGGAGGACTTTTTGGCAGTGAAACTCAGGGAACAGGCCGCGTTCCTCGAGGCGGACTTAATGGTGGTTGTTTCACGCTGATCGAATGCCGGAAGAGTGAGATCTGGGCCTCCAAAGTGACGCCTACGGTGATGTTGTGCAGAGGGAGTTCGGCTGGATCGTGGAGGCTGTTTCCGGTGGTTTCTGGTTGTGAAACCTTGAGATCTGGACGGATTGTTGCCTACGGTGAGAATGGAAGTGGCGGCGCGGTGAACGGTCATCTAAAAATGAGCGAACAATGGTGAAGGAGCAGCGGCTGTGGGTGGTTTTACAACAAGGGCGTGTTTGGGGATTGAAAAATGAGTTTGAAAAAAGTAGAATGAAGCAATCAACCTGGCTCTGATACCAAAATTGATGTAGAACAAGAAAGGATTGGAAGGGATGAGAAGTTAGAGAAGAGGAAGAAGAAGAGAGGAGGAGCAGAGAAGCAGGGAGAACGGGAAAAAAACTGATCGATAAATTCCAAATGTCAAGTCTGATTACAAACTGAAACCCTAAACTATAAATAAAAGAAAGAAATAAAATAAATAAAAGAAATAAAATGAGGGGAGTGGGGAAGTGGGGTGAGTGGAGTAACTACCCACGATCTAAAATACAGAAATAATTAATAAAATAAACAATAATAAAAAAATAATTAATTAGTTAAATTAAATCTGCATCACAATGCCTATTTAGGATAAATATCTAACTCAACTTACTTCCTTAATCTCCTCAAATTAGTCAATTGGTTCTTATAATTAGGACCGGAGGTAGTATATAATTAACAATGATATTTTAGACAAGACAATATCAATTTATTATAATAACGAACTTAACTAATTTTTTGAAGTAGTGCGTTACCAAAAAACATATCATAATGATTTCTATTCTATTTTGAAAATTTAGAGTTTAGACTACAGAATCTTCCTATCTTCCCAAGCATACATATTCCATGATTATAATCAAAACAAAATCAACAAAGACGCAAGAGAACATAAAGAGTAGTAAAGCTAATAAACAGAATAATATCATTAATTACTGTTGCTTCAAATCCAAATACTATAGCTGCATTTAACGATCAATTGTTTCACTTGTAAACTCCCAAATGCAGTTAGAAAAATGTTTTTACACAAAACCTTTTTCATATACTGACCTCTCGTTGATCCGAACACCTTATTATTAAAAAACCTAAAGGAATGGCCTCAAACCTTCTGTCAAAGCTAATGATGAAAACATGGCAGGTTTTAGAATTCTCCATACCTGCATTAAAACCTAACCAAGTTAATTAAGCACCAATAGCATACAGCTTATATTTGGGGGGTGATTTTAAGCACAGGAGTACTAGAAGAATAACCAAGAAAACTAGAAAACAATACATTTTCTTAGTTTATGCCTCGTTCACACCAAATTCTATGTCTCTTACTTCCAAATCTTGCTCTTGGACTTTGGATTCACTCAGTAATTCTTTAGCAGCTGGACATGAAAATGACTGAAAGGATAAATCATCTGCAACCATCATCTTTAATCTCCATAAAGTGTGATACATGTAAGATTTTTTCCCGATTTTGGAGGCAATGAGATTGGATGAGTTCTTGTTCACTAAAGTTGTAAGTATGGATCTTATGTCATGATCCCAAAAGAAGTGAACCTAGGAAATGACCCAAAAGGTGGCCCAAATCTCATATGCAAGCACAACTAGAGGAGGAGACACAAAATGTGGTTACTATGGGATTTGGAGGGTCAGGTCGAGTATAATAAGGACAAAGTCTGTTATGGAGGGGGTAGAAATGATTATGGTCTCTCTCTCTTACCCCTGAAGATTCTTTCCCTGCTAACTTCCTGCTTCCTTCTTTCTACTCCTTTCTGCAACTCTGTAATTCACTGATATTTGCATATTCCATTGTATTGAGTGCATAATTTCTATATATGTGACTAAACTTAATCCATTGAACCATATATTTTATCATTTTCGTCATTCATATGTGTATTTTCAGTCTTGACCATTACATCTTACACCAACACCCACGGTCGAAAGTTTCAAGCTCCCGTACAAATTATCAAGGCACCCCTAACCAACTGAGAAGCCTAAAAATTTAACTGCTCCCAGTGGTAGAGTGAGGAAACTTAGAAGTTGATCCGTGAAATCTGTTTTTGCTTCTGCAAACAATATTTTGTTTTTTGATTTTGACACTACTACCTTCAACCTTATCTTATGACCCCCATTGTCTTGTGACTGATTCACTTCAAAAATGGACTGTGATTTTGTTTGGAGGTTCTGATAATGAACGTGCAGTTCCTTGCGTAAGAATAAATTAGTCAATGGTGTCTCTGACCATAACAACGTCAACTTGAGTAGATCCCATAGCTTCACAAAACAAAGCATGAATAAATGATGGGACTAGAAATAATAAGGAGGAAGAAATCAAATTAAGCAATGAAGAGAAATCAAGGGGAAAAAATATGTGGAATGTCATTTTGACGAAAAATTACACTTACCACTGTCTCACTAACATTCACAGTTAATCTCTTGGGAACATACGCAACCCCAAAATTCTGTATTATCCACAAGGTATTTATATCACTAGGCATCACTGTTAGATCATCACAAACTAACCAAAATATTGGCAACCGACCGCCAATATAGCCATTAAAAAACTGAGAGCTCTTCATCATCAAAGTCATATCGAGATCCATAATATCCCATTAAGTTGATTGGATTTAGGAACTTTCCGTTATTCCAATCTTTAATAAAATACGTTGGGTCCAGATTTTCTACACTTCACCGCAGTGAGGAAATACAGTTAAATTTGAAAGCCTGTACACTAGAGTCCTTACTTACAAGTCTAGAGATAGTTCCCAAGGGCAACATGAAGAAGCTAACTAAAATATCGATAAAGTCAAACCCCACTTCAGCATAAAGAACCTTATTTTTCTCATCGTCTATGAACAAAGTTAATGAAATGTCCTCCAATTTCTGCGATGAAGCCATGATCGAAATGGTGCATTGCATAGATTTGTTCTTTATGCAGAAGAGACTAAATCCTTTGTACCCATATTGACAACTTCGCTGGAGGGTATTTGAAAAGAATCTACAAGAAGATATATAGATATGAGGCACAAAGAAATCATAGAATAAATTGTGATTGTAAAAGTGAGTGATTTGGGCAAATTTAGAAGCATAAGATGTCTTCAAATGAAGTCCACTCATGATTAGGCATTAAATTTCCCATTTTCATTTAGGTTGAGGAAATCATAATAAGAGTGAGATTGATCAAGGTGTAATTCAAAGAAAATCAAAATACTAACGACTACCTTATAATACCTTTGCTAATCATGTGTATTAGTTAAAACTACCATTTGATAAAGTTTGTTAAGTCAGTCATTTGTAATAAATAGGTGTTATCTTCCTTATAATATCCTTGCTAATCATGTATATCAGCTAAAACTACCATTTGATGAAATTTTTAACATATATAACTACTATAAGGACTATTTTTAAAAAAATACATAAATATGAGAGATAAAGTGAATTCGGGTCTTATATTTAGAACCAAATTGAAAGTCAAACTAGCTCTTATATTTAGGACTGTGAGTAGTACATTTTTTTCAACAACCACAATCATCAAGACAACCTAGAGTGGTTAATCCATTCTTCAATTGATAGAGCATGTAATAACCCAATTAAATGTATTCAAAATAAGTTTAGTAATCTAGAGTATTAATGGGTATAAATTTTTTTTATCACTTACACCCGTCCCTTTAAGTTAAAAATGTCACTCCTAACATAGCTGCCCAAAAGCCAATAGTAAATCAATTTCACTCTAATACAATTGTATGGGTCCAGTAGGTATATTCCTTTTAATGACAAATTAGAACAATTTATAATCCCAGGCTACCCAATCCAATGGTCCAATTAAGATTTCGTTTTCCAAAACTAATCTAAATTCCTCAAGTTCATACTTAATGTTGGTCAAACATTAGATAGACAGGAAATCCAAGATTGAGTAAACAGATAATATTAAGCATAGATAAATGGTTCCAATATGCTCTAATCCAAAAATCAATGATTCACAACATGCTCCTTCATAGCAACTCTAGGGTCAGGGCAGAGAAAAAACTACCCACAACAACAACAACAAGCCTTATCCCACTAGGTGGGGTCGGCTACATGAATCACACGACGCTATCGTGCTCTATCAACAACTCAGTCCTTAAATATGTTGTTGACTAGGAGGTCTCATTCAATGACCTCATTAAGTGTTCTTCTCGGTCTTCCTCTGCCCTTTTTTATGGGACTCCATCTTGTCTGATCCACCCTTCTCACCGGGGCCTCCAATGGCCTTCTTTGTACATGTCCAAACCATCTTAAGCAATTTTCAATTATTTTCTCTTGGATAGGTGCCACACCGACTCTTGCCCTGATATTTTCATTTTGAATCCTATCTTTTCTTGTATAACCACACATCCATCTCAACATCCTCATTTCTGCTACCCCGACTTTATGCTCTTGTTTTCCTTTTATTGCCCAACATTCACTACCGTACAACATAGCTAGTCTTATAGTAGTCCGATAAAATTTTCCTTTAAGTTTCTTAGGTACCTTCTTATCGCAAATAACTCCGGTAGATTTCCTCCACTTTAACTAGGCAGCTTGTATTCTATGAGAAACGTCTCCATGAATTTCCCCATCCTCCTGTATAATGGATCCTAGGTATTTAAACTTTGATACTTGATGAATGATTTGCTCTCCCATCTTCACCTCCAAATCCCCATTTCCTTGCCTCCCCCAAAATCACAATGCATATATTTTGTTTTGCTCCTGCTCAAGCAGAAACCTTTTGACTCCAAAGTCCTTCTCATAACTCCAATCTAGTGTTAATCTCTTCTTTTGATTCCTCCACGAGAACTATATCATCCGCGAAAAGCATGGACTTAGAGATTCTTTCTTGAATAGGTTCAGTTAGAACATCCAGAACAATGTTAAACAAGTACGGACTCAAAGAGGATCCTGATGTAGACTAATCTTAATAGGAAAGTCCTTTGTCTCACCTCCAGGCGTCCTTACACTGGTAGTTACCCCTTCATACATATCTTGTATGGCTTTGATACAAGCAACCCGTACACCTTTCTTTTCCAAAGCCTTCCACATTACTTCTCTTGGCACATGATCATAAGCCTTTTCCAGGTCAATAAAAACCATATGTAAATCTCGTCTTTTACTCCTATATCTTTCCATTAACCCCTTTAGTAAATAGATTGCTTCTGATGTGGATTTCCCTGGCATAAATCCAAATTGGTTTTCTGAAATAGAAGTCTCCAGCCTCAACCTATATTCCATCACTTTTCCCATAACTACATCGTATGACTCATAAGTTTTATCCCTCTGTAGCTTGCACAATTTTGAATGTCTCCTTTATTCTTGTAAATAGGAACTGAAATGCTTCTCCTCCAATCATCTGGCATATTCTTAGAGCATAAAATTTCATTAAAAAACTTAGTTAGCCACACCTCACCCTCATCGCCCAAACATTTCCAAACTTCAATAGGGATACCATCAGGCCCAACGGCTTTTCCATTGTCCATTTTCTTGAGAGCTGCCTTAACCTCTCCGATACAGATCCTGCAGTAGAAAGCCAAATTCCGATTATCTTCATTAATTAGCAAGTCTTGTAAGTCCTGAGTCGCATAATTGCTTCCCTCATTAAACAACTTGTAAAAGTAAGCCTCCCATCTGTCCTTAATATCACCATTAGTAACTAACACTTTACCATCTTCATCCTTTATATCCTTTACTTGGTCTAGATCTCTCTTTTTCCTCTCCCTTTGCTTCGCAATCTTGTAAATATTTCTTTCTCCTGTCTTTGTTCCTAACTCCTGATAAAACCCCTCATAAGCTTTAGTACATGCTTCGCTCACTGCTCTCTTCATCTCTTTTTTAGCCAACTAATACTTTTCCCAGTTTCTACACTATTGCACAAATGTATGGCCTTAAAACAATCTCTTTTCTATTTGACTTTCTCTTACACACTCTTATCCCACCACCAAGTCTCCTTATCTCTCTGACCAGGACTTTTGGATTCTCCTAAAATTGCTTTAGCTACCAAACAAACCATTGTAGCTATCTCTTCCCACATCATGTTTGCATTTCCTTGCGACTCCCAAATCCCTCTCTCCAAAAGGGTCCTTTTGAATAACTCCCGCTTCTCACCCTTTAACTACCACCACTTAACCCTGGGTTTTACCACTTGATGGTACTTTTGCCTGATACTCTTAAAACGTACACCAAGGATAAGTACTCTATGTTGGGCAGTCACCCTATCTCCTGGAATCACTTTGTAATTAGTACACAGTCTTCTATTCGGATTCTTAACCAAAAAGAAATCAATATCTGATTTTGAGGCACCACTTTTGTATGTGATTAAATGCTCCTCTCGCTTCTTAAAACAAGTGTTGACAATCTTAAGATTATATGCAAGAGAAAAGTTGAGAATAGATTGTCCTCCACTATTAAGCTCCCCAAAACCAAAACCACCATAGGCCCCGCTGAATTGTCCTGCTTCCTTACCAACATGTCCATTAAGGTCCCCACTGATAAACATTTTTTCTTCGAGTGGTATGCTTTGAACCAACCCCTCCATATCTTCCCAGAACTTATATTTAAGGTGTGCCTCTGCCCCAACCTAAGGTGCATAGGCACTAATGATATTGATAGTATCCTTTCCAACAATTACTCTTAATGATATTATTCTGTCCTCAAACCTTTTAACCTCTACTACGTTTTTTTCCATGTTCCATCAACGATGATACCAACCCCATTTCTTGCACTCACCTTTTCTGTGTACCAAAGTTTATACTCTCCAAGTTCCTTGGCAGCTTCTCCAGTCCATTTGGTTTCTTGGAGGCACAAGATATTAATCCTTCTGTCCCTCATACCTCCTGCTACTTCCATAGATTTCTCATTTAGCGTCCCAATATTCCAAGTGCCAAATCTAATCTCAGTCTCATGAACTAACTTCTTTAGCCGCCTCCATCTAAGAGAGTACGGTAGCCCTCGCTCATTTAACACTACATCTGGGTGACGATGCAGCGGCTCTAGCTCATTTCTCATTGTACTTGAGCCATACAGCATGTCACTTCTGGGCAACGACCTAGCATTAGCATAATTATTTCGTTGATCCATGTTCATAAGATTCGACGGGTTTTTACGTTGGCTGTCGAGGGCTTAACACAACCCTCCTCCTTTATCCAAGCTTGGGACCGGCTATACAATATAGGCGGAGTTAGAGAAAAAACTACCCACACGTGGTTAAAATCAAACTCGTTGCAACACAACTAAATTCACACCCAAATAACATAATAAAAAGGAAGAGGAAAACAAAAGACTGTATAATCTGTCTTCCCCCTACTTATGTCAGGAAGAAAGACAGAGAAAAACGAGAAGCAGAAGCTTCTCTCCTTTCCACTATTCGTTCCTGCAGAAGAAGAACCAGAGGCTGGCTTAAAGAAGGAGGAAACTAAAGCAGAGAGACAGGCACCCTTTCCTCTCAGATTGCCTTTAGGTTATATAGACAAGGAGTGAGGGGAAAAAGAATTTTTAGATTTTATTAAAAAGAGTTGTGTTATTCAGAGTAAATTGTTTAAATAGAATGATTCTGTGCGAAGTCTTTCATATTTAAGTTGGAAGACAGAGACTTTTTTGGCCAACGAAAAGACAGAGACTTACCAATAATATCTTTTTTTGCCCAGAGACTTGCCAATAATATCTTGAATTTTCTGCCTTACCATCTAAAAGTGAATTTGATTTTATGTGAACATTAGAATATATAACAATAAGTTGATGATATAATTAATAAACGTTGGCAACAAAGAAGAAGAAGGTATAATTAATATACATCAAATAGACTAAAACACAGTGCATCATTCTCTCACTATCTGTATCCTCGGTGCACCAAACATTAACTCTAAAGTAAAATATTAAACAAATTGTAAAGTGATAATTCAAGGGTCCATTATGTTTTTTGACCGGTAAAATGTCGAGTCAATCCTGCCCTAACCGCATAGAGTTATAGCACATTAAGTCCAACAACAAAAAAAGTTTCCCAAAAATAAATATAAAAATCAATTATTCCTTTTAAGTTTACAAGCAATTTGTATATTTTATCATTTATCATTTACGAGACATGGTTACTTTACAAACCGAAACCCCAGAAGCCTACGATATATGAATATGCAGCAAACGAGGAGGCGCAACGCCTTGAGAAATACTACTCTTTAAAAGATCATTATATCTAAGGAACTTATTTTTTGAGTAATCATATCTAACATCTTCAACTGCGTCAGTACATCTTGTTTTGCCCTTTTAAGATTATGGTTCAAAAACTTCACGCTACCAAATATTATATGGGTCACAAAAATAAATAGTGGCAAATCAAGGTCGATCCCACAGAGAACTCAATTAACAATGATTAGGCAGTAAAAATCCTCTTTTTGTTTAAGCTGAGTAAATCAAAATTTTATGAAATTGAGTGGAAAGAAATTAACATAAACAAAACAAAGCTTTATCAAATTAATTAAAGCAAATGTTAAAAAGACCAACCAATAGTCACCAATTCCTTGCTAGCTTCTCCAACCTTCTTTCATTAAATTGATTAGCTTTAATGTTAGTTTTGTTAATCTAGAGTATAATTAGCTACAAATGACCATTGACTTATAATTTTCTTTTAAATTAATTATGTAATCTCTCATACAATTAACTAAGAGGCTAAACAAGCTGGTCTCACTTCTCAACAATTATATGGGATAATTAGGTATATTTCTATTCTAATCACAAATTATGTTATTAATCGAATGTCATATTACTTAATCAAAGAGCTTAATTAAAATATCTTTTGTCAAGGTAAAAATTAATTTTCAAATTCACACTTAATGGTGGGCAGCCATCAAATAGACAATAAAAAAACAAGATTAAGTAACCAAAATTTAATACTCCTTCGGTCCTAAACATAAGACCTTTATACTAGTGTGTATAAAGGTCTTACGTTTAGGACCGGAGGAGTATTAAGCATTCTCAATTCAGTGAAAACAAAGTTTAATCAACTAGCAAGTTCATACTTCCTCCAGATTAAAAAGAAAATTAGCTCCACAAAACTTTCACCAATCTCAGCTTAACAACATTAATTTCAGAATCATATAGCACAACGAAATTCGAAAGACAAAAGAGACAACCACTTAAACAGTGAAATGAAGTTGAATGGTGTCCTTTGGTAGCTCCGTTCAAGCTCGTCGCACTTCAGGAAGAAGAGCAGCACCGTCGGCCTCCAGCTCTCTCTCTCTCTGAACCAGCTCGGCGTCTCTCCTCGCAGAGCCAATCGGCGTTTCTCCTCAGGTCCAGCGAAGAAAGATCGTCCAGAACAGTGCCGGCTTCCTCCTTTTACTTCTCAGTAAAGAGGAAGAACGAGGACCACCTCCAATGTCTGCCTCTCTCGCTCCCTAAACTAGTCGAACCAAGGCAGAGAAGAAGATGACGTCCACTCAACCCCTCCTTACGATGAACGGTGTCAGCCTCCTCCCCCTATGAACAGTGATCTCCCTCTATTCGAAAACCCTCTGCCCTTGCCTCTCACACGTGCAGCGCGTGGTCTCCCCTGCTTTCCAGAAGTCCTCCCCTTTTCCCTATTCCGAACGGTGCGTCGTGCTGCAAACAAATAGATGCTATAATAATTAAGAAAAAAAACTAAAGTATATTTTAAGTCTTTTTACTTTATATAACATTTTATTTTGATTCTTTAATTTTAAAAAGTAAATTTTTTGTTATCTAACCCTAAAATCATTAATAAAAAAATGACAATATTGAACTTTTAAATGTTGATAAAATATTATTAAATGTTAACATATTAAGTTTAATTTTCAAAATAACCATTATTATTACAAAAAATCATCATTTAAAACTAAAAATTTTAGAGTTAAAGGTACTTTTTAAAATTAAAAGAGCAAATTAAGACTTTACATAAAGTTAAAGAATCAAATATATATTTTAGCCTACAGAGAAATGATAAGACAAAGAATCCACCGCAAGGCATTAAAAGAAATTGAAGTAAAATAAAATAAAACAAAAGGTAATTTCAATACTTTTGAATTTATTTGCAACCTAATTTAAACTACTTTTATCTAATTTTGAAAACTAAGATGTTTACAAGAAAATCCCCCAGATAATGCTCAAGATCAATTTTTTTTTTTTTTGGGACTGAAAGATCAAATTTTCTAATTAACTCTTAGAAATCTTCTAAATTGCATTGATAACTCTCAAAAAATTACTTAGAATATTCTTTTATTATGTTAAAAATAGAGAGTTATCAATGGTTCCATATGAAGATCTTAAGACAATATCATTGACTCTCGTCGTAGACAAGACGAACAACCAAGTATCTTTGTTTCGATGGGGATAAAAAGAGGTTGCTGCATCCCAATGTCGTGATGATCGGAGATGTGCACGTCCCCGAGAGACTCTTAGAAAGAGGTATAATACATAGTATTTTGCTAAACTTGTTGGGTCATTTTCTTTGCATCTGATTAAGTTAACTTTTTTTCCTCCTTGAATTCTACTATTTTTGTAACGTATTGGATATTCTCAAGTTCTCGTTTTTGTCAGAAAAGCCGTTGACAGATTTATTCTTAAAAATGCTGAACATACAGAACTGTGAAACCCAACTACCCCATCAGTTCAAATTTGACACAAGTGATGAGATTCAAGAGATTGAGGAAGGTAGAAAGATGAAGTTGAAAATAATTTCAACGTCAAAGAACATATTACAGTTTGCTCAGGCTGAAGAAGAATTCGTTGATCAACTTTTAAGTTTCCTGACTATACCATTAGGAGCAGTTGAACGCCTTGCAAGAGCTAAATCTGGTTTGGTCTGCATCGATCATTTGTACAAGAGTGTGGCTGATTTGGATTCGGATGAAACTAGATATTTCGGTTCATTGTTTTCTAATCCAATGAGTAACTGCATTGATCCGTGCATTATTGGCCCAGAAATCGATAGCGAGATGTTACCGGTTCCTACAATGGATTTTTGTCCCCAGGAAACTGGGATCGTTGTTATGTGAGGAGGGAAACACCGTACTTGGTATTATGGCAACAGAACGACGTGGAAGAAAGGAAGATTAGAATAGGTGTGAATGAGGTATGAACGTACCTTTTATATTTTTATTTTAAGAAAGCTACTGGCTCCGCTATTTAATATAAAACCTTTTTTTATTTTTATTTTGATCATAAATATAAGATTTTAATTTATTTTGTCTTTCATATTTATCTATTTTTTTCAAGATAGTCTTTCTAATAATGGTAGTTCTAGACAATAAACTTAATTAGTAAAGATATTTTAGAAAAGACAGTACCTATTTATTACAAATAACTAACTTAACTTGTTTTCTTAATCTATTTAAATTAGTCAACTAACTTTTATATTTAGGACTGGAGGTAGTGTGTCATTAAGATTTGATGAATTGAATTAAATTACAGTTTAGAAGTTAAGAAAGAGACATTAATCCACTTTAATTTGTGAATGTAGGTATTGGGGATCCTGAAAGCTACACTAACATGATCCTCAACTTTGACCATCGGTTTGAGTTCGTGTCTTAAAGTCTCTAAAGGGGTGCTTGGTAACCCCAAAAGTGTTTTTGAAAAGCACTTTTTTGCAAATTGAAGTAAACTCCTCTACATATTTACTTCGTATACCGTAAAAACACTTTTAAAACCATGGTTTTGTTTGTACCTAAACACTCCCTGAGAAAAGGAAGAGAATAGAGAAGTGAAGAATTGATTACTAGATGAAGCAATAATAACATGTACTCCCCTTCCTTTGTTTGGTTGGTACATTTTTTAAGGAAGGGAAGGGAGTTGCTCCCCTCTTCTTGTTTGGTTGAAATATTTTTTATAAAAGGGAGGGTTTCTCTTTTCTTCCTATTCCCTTCTAGCTTCCCCTCCAAAAGTGGGTTTTTTTGGAGGGGAGATGAGAGATAAAATTTTATATGCCCAAATGAACCTGAGTAAAATATTTTAATTCCTCTCTTGCCTTTTGGAGTTTTCAATCCTCTTATTTTTCTACGCCCTAATCTGCTATGCTCACACCCAAAAAGCTGCCGCCACGCAATTGAGTCCATTAATCTTGTCTTCTTCTAAGCTTTAAGTGCGTATTCTTTGACCTTTCTATTCATATATATGAGCTACGGTGGGAAAAAAAATAGCTAAAAGCAATATAAAGCAATATGGGATCAGGACATGTTTGGTGGGAATCTTGGATTTACAAAGCAAAAGTGACAAAGATGACGAGTTTTGGTACTTTTCATTTCTTTGAAGAATTTCGGCGAATTCCATTGTCAAAGAACTCCATCTTTTTCCCTATTTTCTATTTCTATCTGGTTTTCTGCGTGATTTTTGAAATAAGCAATTGAGAAGTTACAACACCCAGAAATATTTTATTACTCTCTTTGGGTTTTCGCTCTTAGATTCAAGGGGTTGTTTTCAATTATTTGTTGTTTTGCTTTTATAAATTTCTATTAAGCAAGGTGGTCTATTAAATGAAGCATTTGTCATCTCTCGGCAATCAATTTCTTTAGTCAAATCACCTTGGTTTGATTTAAATACGCCAACTATACAGGCAAATGAGACATTAGATCAAACTAAAGAAGTAAATATACAATAATGACTACAAGTGTGCAAAGGAGACCAACATGTGGCACCCAGAGTCATTATTTGTGAGGTAAATCAATTCTTATTTTTTGTTCATGTCAATTTAATTATTATTTATTATTAATTTTATAAAAATTAATCATTACTTATTTTCATTAATCACTTTTTAATTAATGTAATATTAATTATTACTATTATGATTATATAATGATTAACTCATTATTCTAATGATATGATCATTATTAACATCCTTGTAGGGGTATTTGTGTGGTGAGAGATTGTAAATAAGTTGTTCAAAGGCTGATGAAGTTTAAAAGTTATTCATACCAAGATGAAGTTCAATTACACGCCAAACAATGTTTATTGAGAAAATTGTTCTTACTTAGATGAATTTTAAATGTTGTTCAAGTCAGGAACAATTTTTAGTGTAGTATTCGTGGAAATAATTCCCACTATGTAGCGTTTGAAGAATTTATTTTACTATTTGTAGCCTATTGATAAAAATTCCACGATTTTTTATTGGGTTAAGGTGTGCCCAGTACTCCGAACTATTTTCCCAGGTGCACCCAGTGTCCTAAAGTAATTTTCGGTGCATCTAGTGTCCCAAACTAATTAAAACGGTGCATCCATATCTTGGGCCAACAGAAAAGTTAAATTTGACCATTAACTTGCTGACTCAACCAAAGGTTGACGAAAAAATCCTATGTGGCGGACACGTAGGTGTCTGATATGTATTATTTTGATAGGTTAAGGTGCGCCTAGCACCCCGAACTATTTTTCCAGGTGCGCCCAGTATCCTAAAGTAATTTTTGGTGCATCTAGTGTCCCAAACTAATTAAAACAGTGCATACACATCCCAAGCTAACAGAAAAGTTTCGTTTGACTGTTACCTTGTTGATTCAACTAAAGGCTGACTGAAAAATCCTACATGGTGGATATGCAGGCGTTTGATGTGTATTATTTTGACTAAAGCTCCCGAGACGAGCCTGATGGCGGCGGGTGTTTTCTCGGAAGGCAACGGCGATGTCGACGGAGTGACCAAAGGGAAATTTACGATGTTCTATGAGGAGGAAAGCAAATGCGAGTCGAATGAGGAATTGACAGAGACGGAGATGGAAGTGTGCTGTGACGGCGATTGTGGTTTCAAATTGGAGTGGTAGAAGAAATGGGATAAAATGTTAAAGACGAGGATGGGATTGAATGGGTGGTATATGTACCAAGATTTAAGAGGATGGATCAATGGTCTTGCTTTTTTTTAAGTTTAAAAATTGGCAGAAGATAAATGTTAGAAGAGAAGGAAATAAGTTGAATTTTCAGTCAAAATAATACACATCAGACGCCTGCGTATCCGTCATGTAGGATTTTTGGGTCAACCTTTAGCTGAGTCAGCAAGGTAACGGTCAAACGAGACTTTTCTGTTAGCCTGGGATATGGACGCACTGTTTTAATTAGTTTGGGACACTGGATGCACCAAAAATTACTTTAGGACACTGGACACACGTGGGAAAATAGTTCAGGGTGCTGGACTCACCTTAACCCATCAAAATAATACACATCAGATGCCTAAGTATCCGCCACGTAGGATTTTTCGGTCAATCTTCGACTGAGTCAGCAAGTTAACAGTCAAAATTAACTTTTCTGTTAGCCTAGGATATGGATGCACCGTTTTAATTAGTTTAGCACACTGGATGCACTGAAAATTACTTTAAGACATTAGGTGTACCTGGAAAAATAGTTCGGGATGCTGGATGCACGTTAACCTTTTTTTTATTTCAACTGATTTTTAAGGATCCAAAAGTAAGTTTTGTACTTCCAAATGAGGTAGTAGACAGACACACTATTTTGTTCATGTTGTGAAAGTTTATCTTGAAACATGAGCCAGTTGGGTTTTAAAAATATTAGAACATGCAAAAACGGCAAAGGAGACAAAAGAGAAGCATGTATCCTTGCATCCAAAAACAAGACAAAAGCAAAATTCGCTTCTGAGCCAAAAAAAAAGCGAAAAAAAAAAACTTTGCATATTGCCACGTGAAATTGATTCCCGCCTTTATATTGTTTAATTCCCGCGTTTTTATAGCACGTGCATGATTATATACCATCAGATTAATCTAATGGTCAGTGGATCATATTTATAGCCGCAGATGAAGCCATAAACCTAATACACTAATCTATTCTGTTCAGTAAAGCCAAGCGAACACTTCAAGACCGGGCCATCTTCCGCCTGTGGGGTCGGCCATTTCTGTGTCACCGTCGTGCCCTCCGGTGGTCTCTTCATCGTACTTGTGTTCCAATATTTTCGGATTCACGGTCGCATCCATGGCAAATCTCGAAGCCGTCGAGGACCCATTTGCGAATAGAAAAGTTTGGGAGAAAAAGGGAAAATTTTGACTCTTCTGTAGACTTCCAAATCCCGCATCGTTGTTGGAACCTGAGGCATGTTAGATGACAATTTTTTTTTTTTTTTTGGTATATTTAGAAATGCTATCTATCTAGAACTTTCACATCGAAATGCAAAAAGAACATCCATTTTGCATTATTTGGTATATTGGGTTTGGCTTATTACGTAGTTTATATCTCTTTTCGGCGTGTGTCCTCTGAAATTTGTAGCAATGAAATTTGTCTTTTGCAGAAAGACCTACCCTCTTGGTTTTGTTCTGTAAGATCATGGATTCGCCGGAAAATCTGAACATTTCATTGACTCTGCACATAGACTTTGAGAAAAACAAGGTTCTTTATGCTGAAGCAGATAACGACTTCGTTGATGTTTTATTGAGCTTATTGACACTACCATTAGCAACTGTCTCTAGACTTGTTAGTAAGGAATCTACTGTACAGCCTTGCACATTTAACTGTATTTCCTCACTGCGTCAAAGTGTTGAGAAACTGGACCAGAAGTATTTCTCTTGGGATTGGATCAAAGAAAAGTTGCTGAATCCACTCAATCCAATGGGAGCTGAATCCAAAACTCTGGTATATAACTTTGATGACCCACAGATGTCCAGGGGCTTTGCTGGCTATCTTCGCAAATCATCATGTTTTATAGTTGCGGATGATCTAACACTGATGCCTAGTGATCTGAATTCAACGTTATGGATACTAGAAACTCTCGGTATTGATTATGTTCCGGAGAAATTGACTGTGAATGTTACTGAGGCAGAGGTAAGCATGTTGTAGAATTGTAGAACAAGGTTTGTGTTTTTTCCATTATTATTATTCTCAACTATTATTGCATTCTTTGTTTGTGAAGGTACTGGATCTCCTGAAGTTCTCTTTATGGTCAAAAACACCATTGACAGACCTGTTCTTACGCAAAAAGCTGAACATTCAGAACTGTCAAACACTACCACAGTCCAGGTTAATGAAAAGTGAGCTTCAAATCAATGACGGTTGGAAGATGAAGTTGAAGATAATGATATCAAAATCAAAGAGGAAAATTCTGTTTGCTGAAGCAGAAGAGGGGCTCATGGATCAGCTTTTAAGTTTCCTGACCATACCACTAGGTGTAGTTGAACGTCTTGCTCAAGGCAATGCTGGTTTGGGCTGCATTGACAATTTGTACAAAAGTTTGGCTGGTATTGATTCAACAAGATATTTCAAATCTGATCTGAAGAACAAGCTACTTAATCCCATGATTGCCTCTCGTAAAGTTAAAAACCAGATGTTACCAATTTATTATAAATTAAGTGAGGCTTCAGAAAGTAGGTATGCTTGTTATGTTAAGCAGGGAACAACGTTCATGGTGACAGATGATTTATCTGCAGAACCATTTTCATCTTCTGCTGCTTTGAAATTTCTGCGTGAATCCAAATTTGTCGAGCAAGACTTGGAGGTGAAGCTCATACGCATTGGGGCAAATGAGGTATTCTTTTTTCTTCTCTTCATCATTCATCTACTTCCCTCCGTTTACTCATTGAGAAATTCTTTTGAGAATTTGCCTGTTGTTTACCCTGACCTTAGTTAAATTTGAACAACTTATAGTTAACACTTCATCAATAATGAGCTGTCAAATTTCAATATATAACGAAAACTTTGAATGATCTATATTTAATAACTTGAATAGTGATTGAGATGTCAAAATGTAACACAACCTAAAACCTGAATTTCAGAGTCCAAATAAAAAGGCTGTAGTCAAATCAGAAGAACAGGAAAGGATAAAAGGGTTGAAAAATAAAGTAAGGAGATAGAGTAGAGAAAGTAATTTTAGTTTTTTGGTATTTCTATTTTTTTCCTCTCTAGTTCCATTACGTCGGTGATTAAAACCTTGCCCATGATGGTTTTAATGCTGCAGGTGTATGAAATTCTCAGAGCTGCTATATTCACATCATCAGCATTGACAACTGGTTTGAGTCCATTCCTTAACCTTGTCAAACAAGAGACGTGAAAATTGATGTTAATATAGATTGTTGCAACTAGGGCTTTTGTTTAGATTTTTGGCTTCTGAATCTTGGATTAAAGTTAAGTGCTTATTAACCAAAGTTTCTAATGTTAAGCTGAACTTTGTTGTGTTGTAAACGGTATCAGCATATGGTTTTCACTTTTCAGTAGGAACATACTTTTTGTGAAGCCTAGATATACTTTTGTATAAAGCTGCAATTATAACATTGGTTGTTAAAAAAAATGTCATCTTTCAAAAGTGACTTCGTGTAAAGGCTTTCTAAGCCCTTTTTTTTGGGCACGAATTTGTGCTTTTTTGTAAAAGTCATGCTTCTCCGTTTGTACGCTTTTTATAACCATAACACAGCAGAATAATTATCCAGATGGTTTCCTCTTCCACCTTCATTGGGGGAGGTTCATTTGGTATGTAAATATTTGTTTTTTTTTTTTTGGTTTTTTTTGGGGGGGGGGGGGGATTTTGTCTGTTCTGCCTAGATCATAGCCATTCATGGAAGGTTTTGCCTAAATTGATATCACGAAATAATTGTTCCGTTTAGCCGCTCTAAAGAATCGATCTTATGTCAAAAATTTTAACCATTGTGTTAATTCTTTGGCTTGTTAAGGTTGCCAAATGAATGGTGAAGCAATCATCATGAATGCTGGTCAGGAAAAAAGAAATCATGAATATTCGTCGTGCAAAGTAAAAAGCTATTTCAATCCTAGTACACAAACACACACACATATATATGGGCTTTTTTCCTCATTTTAGTTTTGATGTTTTAATTTTAAATTATAGGTTTTGTTTTTCAAGTTTCTTTTCATTTAAAATACTGGTTTCTATAATCTAACAAAAACTTAGACTATTTTGCTTTTTTGAGATCAAAATTTATGATTTGAAATTTAAAGGATTAAAACCAAAATAAGGGCAAAATCAATAAATAAAAAATTATATTAACAATATATATAAATATAAATATAAATATATTTCTTAGGTTTCATGAGTTTCTTGTACATGACTTATTTCTTAGGTTTCATGGAAGCATCTACATTTGTTTTATTTAATTAATAATTAAAAGAACAATCTTTAATCACTAAAAAAAATCCTGCTGCTAACTAATTTTTATTTATGATCATAACATGCTTTTTTTTAGTTCACTATTATGTTAAAAAGTAATTATATTTAGCTTAATATTATTATATGCTATTCTTGATTATTATATTATCTTCAAATTTCAAAATAATTATAATATCTTAATTCAGATTTTAATTATTACTAACAAACTTTTACCCCATAATAAAAATTTCTGGTTACGTTCCATATGGCCGCATCAAATATGTTTTCAATATGAGATCGTCTATTTTCCTTAAAAATCAATTAAAAAATTTTAAGTTATCCGTACTCATTATGATGAATTTTTTTTAATCGAAATGCCACAAGAACGAGGATATATGATCCATTAATGTGGACATAAGTAAAGAAAATAAAACTATAAATAGAAGAAGGAAGGATCGTATGATTAATTAAGCAGCCTTATTTGCTGTTGTTCGTTCCATGGCCATTAAATCGGACAAAATCATTTTCATTGAAACTTACACACTCACAACACACGTAAATCCATGCGAATGCATCTTATTTTTCCTATCAAATATTTCAATATCCCTCTATATAAGTAAATAGTGCAATTTGCAATTCACATTTGGTAGTAAAATACAGAGAAACGTAATTTTCGTATGAAAATAATGGGCTTAACAAATAAAGAGAAGAGTACAATGGAAAGCTAATTTGGTTTTGGATTTGAAAAAAGTGACGCATCGCATTAATTAGTTGATGGGCACCAGGTGAGATGGTGTTGACTCAACCAACAAGATTTTTTTATTTTTCATTTATGTTTTTTGCCAGATTTAATCTGAATCCCCACAATAATTTCATGAATTTAAATGCGACTACCTAATTATATGAGTGTGTTAATGGTGGAGTCACATCTTTGATAATACACGCACTCCTCTGGTCTTATTATAACGCACATTTTAGAAAACATGGACGATTCTTATTGCAAGTCCTTAATAAATGACAATTAGTTTCAACAGTTCAGTTATCATTGAGACTTTTAACAATTATTTTTTTTAGGAACTCACTGTAATTCTCCCTATTAACTATAAGAGATGGTAACACATAAAAATGTCCTATTTACATATGAGTAAAATAAAAAAATTAATTCTATTTTCAGATAAATTTAATGACTAAGCCACCTTTCTTCGGTTTCAATGATGTGGTTAGAGATGCCTTAATTATATACTCATTTGGTCCTATTTATAAATCACCTATTTAACTTATTAGCATGAATGCATTATTTTGTCCTTCATCTATTATAGTGTTGATATTTTTTTTGAAGTTGCATATATTAAATAGGGTTGAAATTGAAAAGTTATTACTACATGTTAATAGAAAGTTAATGTAGTTTAAAATTTTTCTTGATCTATATGAAATATGCTAAAAGTGTTTTATAAATAGGATTAGAAAAGTATAGTACTCCTCCGGTCCTAATTATAAGACCCAATTGACTTATTTGAGGAGATTAAGGAAGTAAGTTAAGTTGGTTATTTATAATAAATAAGTGTTGTCATTCCTAAAATATCCTTGCTAATTAAGTATATTGGCTAAAACTATCATTATTAGAAGGATTATCTTGGAAAAAAATGCATAAATATAAGAGACAAAATGGATTGGGGTCTTATAATTAGGACCAAATAAAAAGTCAAATGGGGTCTTATAATAAGGACGGAGGAGTATAATAGATAGGGAGGAAGTATATCTATACATACATATATATATATATGATCCGTTCAATTAATAAAATAAACATAACTAGATGTGGGACTCATGAATTAATGTTGCACCAATCTAAACATTAGAAAATAAATAAATAATAAAACATGTTGTTGTCAAAAAGAAAAAAGTTATATGGATGGGTAAAATATATATCTACAACATATAAATAAAATATATAAAGTTATAAGCATCTATGAGACCCCTTTTTTCTCCTCACTATTACAAAAGATCCATTTTCGTCTGGAATTGAAAATAGAGGAAAAAAGGGTGATACATCCATCTACACTCAACAGAAGAGTATAGGGCGATCATAACAAACAAGCCTGTTTAAAAAAAATTTGGAGCTGCGCCCCCCATTTCACATTTCACACTACTACTGTGATCTTGCGCTGCCCCCATTTCACACTCTAATCTTGCGCCCCCTATTTCCAGCTTCCATCTTCCAGCTCGTGGTTGACGTACGGTCCCCCCTCAATTTCTAACTCGAGGTTAACGCTCTCCCCTTCCCCATTTCACATTTTCTTCCCAGCTAAAAGAATTTATTGAATTTACAAAAAAGAAATGCTTATAACAAAAGTGAAAAGTATTTTTTCCCCTGTGTTACTTGTTTAAATGGAAGATGATTGACTATTGATGATACAAGGATCACTTATTTTGTGATAGGATAAATTTTTGATATATAAGATGGATATGGCATAGCGAAAGAGGAACAATGCCATTGGTTGAAGAAGAGAAAGTTATGAGTGGCTTGAATGATAGAATGGGTGATATGATTCATGATGTTGGAATGGGGTTATTTGCACAATCACATATAAATGACAGCTTATAAAGAGACGCAGAGATAACTTTATATCTTGGGTGTTCTAAGTATACACGGTTGACAGTTGTATTGAAATTATTCAATTTGAAAGCAACTAATGGGTGGACAAAGTTTTACAGAGTTACTTCAATTGCTGGGTGATATGCTTCTAATTGATAATGTTCTTCCAAATAGTGTGTATAAGGAAAAGAAAATCTTGTCTTAGATGGGTATGGGCTATGAAAAGATACACGCCTATCCTAATAATTGCATATTATACAGGGAAGAGTATGCTGATCTTAGTAAGTGTCCAAAATGCTTATCTTCACGATATAAAGTAAAGAAGAACATAGGTAGTGATGGTGATGCTAATAAGACAACTAAAAGGCAACCTTTGAAGGTACTATTGTATCTTCTAATAATACCACAATTTAAACGTTTGTTTGCTAATGCAACGGAGGCAAAAAATTTGACATGGCATTTTGACGAGAAAATATCATATAGAAAACATCTCAGGCACCCTACCAATTTCTCTTAGTGGAAGAAAATAGATGAAATGTATCCAGAAGTTGATAGTGAGTCAAGAAACCTTCATCTTGGGCTTTGCATAGATAGAATTAATCCTTATGATACTCTCAATAGCACACATAGTGCAAGTAGGCTGGTGATTAAAAGATTTTTAAGACAATTCTCACTCATACTTACATTCAATGGGCTAAAAAGGATGAGAACTCATGTGATATTTACTCCTTTCTTGAAGAAGACACTTGGAGAAAATTTGTAGCGTCATGGCTAGATCTTGAATTTCAGGTAAACTTCTAGTAAGTGATTCTGTCCATATAAACTAGTTTCATTTCATTTAAGTAACTTCATTTTTTTTTTGTAGAAATGAAGGGCTTCAAATAAAGAAAAATAATCTAAAAATGTATATTAGCATTACATGTCTCGTGAGGGTTATAGAAAGGCACAATAAAATATCATAGAAGTTGATTTCAAAAAAAAAAATGCAAGAAGCTGCAAAATTAGACCCCAACATTGTTGTTCAAGCCCCCTCCTCCTTCTCGACATAGAACATGGAAGCATACAGGATGAAGAAAGGTGAATATATCAATTGAACTATTGTTGACATTGCTAGAAAAATTATAAGTAGTTAAATTAAAATAATTAAATTAAAATAGTGTTTACATTCTGTTAAAATTGTAATTACTTTTTATTTATTACTTATATGTTATAGGATATACTTGAGGAGTAGAGTAGTCAAGATTCTTTTACTCCAAGTGGAAGGGTGGACATCCTACCAACAACAACTGAGTAGTTAGACCATCCTAGTCGAGTAAGAGGGTTATCAAAGACAGTTGGTTTAACCCAATTCTTTGGT